ATAAACATTCAAATGGTAAAAAAAAAAAAGAGGTAAATCAGGTTCTTACCATCTCTTTTTCTTTTTCCTCGATTTTTCTCCCCCACCTCTCCCTTTACCTTTTTTTTGTTTTTTTTTTTTATTGTTTAAGTTAATAGGAAAAGGAAAAAGAGGGTGGGTTAGTATTTGATAGATAATACTTTTATTTTTTGTGTTTTTCAATTTAAAAAATGAGAGAGTGAATGAGTTGAATATCATATACAAAACTATTTTTGAGTTTTTTTTTTTTTTTTGAAAACAAATAAATAGGAGGGAGAGGGAGTCCAGAACCTTTTCATCTTTTTTTTTAATTATTTATTCTTATCTTTTAATCATCAAATATCACAAATAACTTTGATAAAATAAATAATTGCTTCCTTGTCTCAAAAAGGACATACATCACACAAGTAAACGACTAGGACAAATTTATATGGTAGTTAAATATAGTGAATTTAAAAGTGTTTTTTTTTTTTTCTTGAATTTGCCTTTGAATAAGGGATTTTGATGAATTCCAAAAAAAAAATTGTGCTTAAAGTTTTTAGGATTTGAATTATAGTCACTGAAATTAAAAGTCTAAGTACTCTTACTTATAGATCACATAACTATTGGCAATTTGAAAGATTTCATGTGATAGAGTTGAAATTTTAAAATTTGAAATAATTGTATTTTTTTAATAGCTAAAATGAGTAGTAATTCATTTTCCAAATTACTAGTATAAATTTTTATTTTCACTTTAATCACTATATATATTTTTTAAGTATGGAGACGAGGTACTTGAACTAAATTCTTTAAATAGGGAGACATATATTTAGGCTTCGTTTGTTTCGTGAAAATTACCTTCCAAAACATATTTTCTGAAAAATATTTATATTTTTTGAAAAACTAAATATATTCTAGGATGAGTCAAAGACAAATGTTTTTTATTGTTTGGTTATTTTTTGAAAAATCTATTTTTTATTCAAATAATATTGACATAACTATTAAAATATTTAAATTTTATGTTGATATTAAACATTTAAAACAAGACAATTTATTGTTATTTATTATTTAAATTATTGATTTTTAAAATTATTAATATTTAAAATAGTTATATTTTAATAACAATATTTGATATTAAAATTTTATGTTGATATTAAACACTTAAAACAATACAATTTATTATTATTTATTTTAATATTTCAAAATATTTAAAATTGTATTATTATTCATAAAATATTATTTCTATTAATATAGTAATGTTAAAAATAGTAACATTTGTTATTAAATTATAAAAAAAAATATTTATACTATTAAAATAGTACTATAAATAATAAATTTCAGTATTAGTCACTGAATCATTTTTAGATTTCTAAATAGGTCACTGATTTGTATTAATGAAATCATTAAAGTTTGCTAAGTGTATCAAACTGAGTTACTTTAGCAGACTTCATCTGAAACATTATCAGAAAAAGCCATGATAACCTTGCAGACAGCCATGTCAACTGCCACGTAAGCCGTTCATTTCACCTTGATGAAATAATGGTGATTCAATTGAGACAGTGGCAAATTAATGTGTGAAATTTAAGTACCAACTATCATTTTTTGCAAGTGAATTTGAGAATGAATTAGAGATTTATTCTCAAATTTTAGGAAGAAAATTTCATGTTGTTGAACCCGCGTCTTTTCTTCACTTCTCATGTCATTTGTCTTTTACGAAAGATAAAATAAACGACTCAAGGAGATAAAAGTCATAAGGACCCAGCAACATTATACCAAAGACGATCTTCTAAATTCTACTAACTCAATAACCTAGAAACTCTGCCGCTATGGACACTGAGAACGCTTCAATGGCAAGCTTACCCTCGCTAATATGCAACCATATAGCTTCCATCTTCTCCAAACCTACTACCCACCCACTAGCCTTAAACCTAATGGTAGCCAAGGTGACCTCCATAGCGTCGACCCAAAAGGGTCGCATATTTCTCGATGGAGTAGGCCGAGAAGGTCTAATGCTAAAGGCCCTGTGCATGCGCCTCGCTCATCGAGGCCTCCCTTCTCACTTAGTCTACGACATGACCACTTCTCCGATTACTTCCACATACCTTCTTTTAGCCTCAACCGGTCGTGGAGGAGTTTTCCATCGTTGATGCCACATTCTGGATGGCAGGATTGCACGGTGGTAGAGTCTTGTTGCTGATTGCCTAGCCTGAAACGGGATCCAATGTGAAGCATGAAAATGTAGTGGTGTATGTACCAGCATAGAGAATGGCTGATGATAAGGAAGATGGTGTTGGGGAGAAACCAAGAACGATGCTGCCTATGGGAAGTGTTGGCTAGGGAGCCATGTTTATGTTGTTTTGAGACGGTGTACAAATTGGGTGAGGTTTTAGGAGATAGTCTTGAGCAGAGATTTAAATAACGGTCGTAATTACGTTTTCGATCGCGTCGTGTTTATCGTATTTTCAGATGTAACGGAGATCATTACGGTTATCGCGATCGTGAATTTTTTTTAATTTTGCACAATTTGTTATAAAATATGATAATTATAATTATAAAAATTTTTTGTTTAATATTTTTTAAAAAAACAATTTATGACATTTATGTTTTTTATTTTTTAAAAAAATTATTCATAATTTTATTTAGATTATAATAAAACATTTATATTTAATTTAGCAACAAAATTTTCACTTGAATCAAGTTCATATTCAAAATTAATTCTTGACATATCAAAATATTAAATAAACATAATATGTTAGATACCAAACATCCATATTTAATAAAATTATAAAGTTAAAAATATAATAATTTCAAATTTCATCAACTATAGTTATAAATTAATAAAAATTAATCTAACAACAAAAGAATTTACAACAATATAAATACCAAAATAACAAAAAAATTATTAAATTTCAAATACAAAATCATAAATTAATAAATAACAAAATCAAATTATAATATTTAATTTTAATTATTTTTTATCTAACTTATACAAAAAAATTTATTAAAAATTTTTATCTAAAATCTATATATATATAATTACAAAAATTACAAAATTTTAAACTTATATTTTAATAAAATTAATTATAAAATTAAATAAATAAAAACCCACCCACCCTACCCCACTCCACTCCACTCAACTCAACCCGCACGTCCCCTTCAGTGCAGCACCTATCTCCCCCAAAATTCCCCCCAAACTTTGATAACCAGAAAGGGAAGGTAGAGAAATCACGTCTAACTCACGTCCAAAATTTTCTCCAACTCTTTCTCTAAAAATTGACAAAGATATTTTATTTTTCATCTATCTTCTAATCTCTTTTAAGTTTCATTCATGTTATTTTTATCTTTTAAATTAAGCTGTAAACAAAACGCAATCGTTGTGATTATGAATTTTATTCACAACCTAATTTCGAATATGTAACGATAATAAAAATTACCGAAATCGTAAAATAGTGATCATAATGCCGTTACACATATGCTATTTGAAACCTTGGTCCTGAGACTATTCGAGCTCGCCATACTAATCTCAAATGACAAGAAGTTTACTGTTTTATTTTTTTTAATATTGGCATTTGCAACATTAAAACAAACCTTACGTGAAAGAATTTAATCTAGCCAAGAAGAAGAGGAGCGAAAGAAAAAAAGGCTGGTGCCCAAATGGTGGCGGACAAAAGCACGGTGAAGATACTTTTGACAGGCTGACCTTGGGGAGACCCGATCTTGGGTCTGGTCAAACAGAGGGATGGTCATTACGTGGCTATCATGTTTTTTTGTTTATGTTTTGAATGAAATCTATTAAAATGATTAAATTTGATACATTTAATAAATTTTAATAATTTTAGTAGTACAAATCAAAATCAAAATTGATTGACCTATTTGAGAATCTAGTGATAGTTCGATGATTAATGCTAAAATTTACTTGAATATAAATATATTTGTTTATAAAATAAAATAATATATTTTAAATTTAAAAATATTAAGAAATTATTAAAATATTTTTATTATTTAAATAATACTATTATATGAAATAATATTAATTATTAAAACAATAAAAATATCATTTAATATATTATTATTTATTATTTATTATTAAAATTATAAATATAATACTATTTATTATTAAATATTAAAAATAGTTATGATTAATAATATATAAAATACACAATACAAACATTTAAAATTAAAATATTCAAAGATAGTTAATATTAATATTTAAAATTTTAATTAAATTAAATTAAAATATTTTTAGTAATATAATAACACTTTGGGTTGGGATAAATTATGCCTCAACTTAAAAAATTATGTTTAAGATTTGACTTAAGTAGAACTATAGTTATGAGCTTGATAAGTAGTCTTATGGATTAACATTTTTTTTTTTTGTAAATTATCATTTTCTTTTCAAAAGTGAAGGATAATTTTTTAAAAAATAATCTCATTTTTCGTCTATCAAAAAATTATTTTATTAATGAATTAATTTTTATCAAATAATTACTAAAAAATACAAAAAATTATTTTTTTAAATATCACTTTTTTTTACCGAAACAAACATTTATAGAGCAAAATGTAGTAGAATTAAATTTGCAAGGCCCATGGGCTTGACTAAGACCGAGTTTTGGATAACAAATTTGAAGTCTCGATATGAACCGTCTTGTAAATATTTCGTTATCAAATAACTAATTTTTATTTAATTTAAATTAATATATTTACATATTAAAATAAAATTTTTAATATTTTCAAAATAATTCAAAATTAAACAAACCTGAATGAATTGTAGAAGATAGACCGTGCTCAATCTTGGACTCTAGTGAGCACTAACTTTTGGTGGCGGATTCTTTCTGTCGGTGGTATCCACTAATCCATAAAGGCAAAACAGGTGTGATCTACGTGGTAAAATATCCAAAAGAGACAGCCTCATAGGCTGTCCAGCTTATCACCAATTTGAAAATACACACCCTCTCTATCTTCCACCAACTTTCCTTGCCTTTCTCTTCTCTCATCTTTTCCCTTCTTTTCTTTTCTCTTCCTTCCTTCCTTATTTCGCCCGCAACTCAATCCTTTCTATTTTTTTTCTCTTCCTCTTTTTCTCTGTTAGGGTTTAATTTTCTTTTCGTTTATATTTTTAATAATCATAAAAAAGCTATGCCGAAGAAGAGGAAATCCGGTGCTACGCGCCTGGATGAGGTGGATCGGAGCACGTACACCACCTTCTGCAGCGCGGCTAACTCGCTTTCGCAGCTTTATTCGCAGGCCATGAACCAGCAGCGCCTCTCTTTCCAGGCCGGCGAACGTCACGCACTGGTTTGCTTCTATCTCTATAATTTATTCCTTCGTCTTTTTTTTTTCTTATCTCTCTATATCTTTATCAAGTATAATTTTTTTTTTGTTGGACAATTTCTAATTTGCTATGTTTGAAAAGGAATGAATAAAAAAATGGAAAATTTCGTTAGGAACAAAATTGTAAGAAACAAAATCATGTTTTGGAGGAATTAATTGGGTTAGTGTTTAATTGCCCGTTTGCTTTTGAGGTTTTTTGTTTGTTGTAATCTGGTAAAAGGTATCAGCTTTGTCACCATTGTTGGAAAGTGAATTATTTTTCCCTGCTGTAATTGGTGTTGGGATTTTTCTTACTTTCCTCCGCCTTTTTTTTTTTTTTTTTGCAAATTGAAGTTTTGGAATGCTGATTGAAGTTTATCAGAAGTTCTTAGTCTTTGTTAGCTTAAAATGAAAAATTATTGGATGAGCTATTTTGTTGAAAAATGTAGAAAAATAAATAAAATTACTAAATACAACAATACATAGGCATTTTTCGGTTACTCTTTTGTGATACATTTTTTTTTTTTGCTTTCAGATGCAAAAAGTAAAAAGTGCATTTGGATAGAAGTACATTATACTTTTGAAGAATTAAGAACAAGATAATTATTTTGAATGACAAAATGTGTAATTTTAGTTTTACATAAACAAATTAAATTATGTTATAATTGATGGTACATTTTAGCTATTTTTTTTGTTTTAGCGAATTACTATGATTTTATTTTTTACTAGTCTTTTGTTTCAAATCAACTTTTTTGAGAAATTTAGAAGCTAGTGAAACCCAGACTGAACCTAAGGATGTGCCATCATGTTTTGTTATGCTGACAGATTAAGATAAATCAGTCACATCTGTTTTATAAAGATTATTATATTATAGAAAGATTGTCCCACAAGTTCAAGCCAATATTGAAGAGCCATTAAGCCCTCAAACAAATATATGGCAGCACTAAGGCAATTTAGAAGCTGCAAGGTGGCTGCTTTGAGCTCCTAAAAGCAGTCATAGCTTCCGCTGTGGCAAAATTGATGACCATGGATAGCATGCACACCTTTTTGTCTCTTTGTGTTTGTAGCAAAAAGGGAAACAGTTTCCTAACTCTTGAACTTGTGTTCTCACAAAAGATTTCCATACTTCTAATTCTTTATTCCCTCTATTGTGATTTATTGGTTTGTTAATTTACCTTGAATTTTTCTTGTGGTTGATGTCATCCTTGCTTTTACTCCTTTGCCTCCGTATTCTTGCTCTGTTTTGTCTTAAATTTTAAAAATGAACAAGAATGTTTGTTCTGGATAATTTCAGCCTGCTATGTTCTTGTTTCTCCACTGAAATGCTTCATTCTGATTGTTGCCCTCTGTTTTTAAATATTGCTGTAGACGTTCGTTTGGCTTTCATATTTCAGTTGTATAATTGTGTTTTCATATGTGTCCCTGGTTGGGCTTGGGTATTGCATCTATTATATAAATCCTTCCTCACTCTCTTCCTCTTTCCCTGAAGGAAAAAATTTTTCAATGGATTTTGAGGCAGCAAGAAGAAGGATCAAGGGTGACAACAGCTGATATAGTTGCTTATTTGCAGGTATCTTTTGTGATTTATTGCTGTTATTGTTTTGATGAATCTGTTTAGTGCATGGTCATTCCTTTTCTTAGTACCTTTCTTCTACTTAATTTTATATCTTTTGTTTTGAACTTAATGCTTCATCCAACAGTATGTTTTTGGATCATTCTGATGAATTTAATTGGAGTGTCCAAACAGTTAAGCACCTAACTAGATCAGTTTGTTTGGGGGTTTGAATGGAACTGAGAGTAAAATAAATTGGTGGGAGGATGAGGTGTGTAGCATAAGATAGAGGAGACTATGACTTTGCTGGAATTTCTAATTGATAGATGCATGATCCTGGGTTAGAAGTATGTTTGGGGTTTTGGATGGAAATGAGAGTAAAGTAAGTGGGTGGGAGGATGAGAAGGGTAAAGTAGGATAGAATGGACTGTTACCATTTAGGTGTAATTCCTAATTCCTGGAAAGCATTTTCTGTTGAGGTTTTCTCTACATCCTGATAAGTGTATCTGAACAGTAGGGCCTTAAACTTGAGATATTCTCTTCAGTAAAATTTGCCCAAGCTCTGTCGGACTGAATATGTGCTCACCTAGTTCCTAGCATATTTTTCCTGTTGATTTCAGTAAGGGTCATGTAAAACTTATTCAATGAGTCACTGATGTCCCTAGATAATAAGGAGATAATAAGGTTGAACACTTTCCATTAAAATTACCATTTGTTAAGGACCCAAGCAATTGAGATTTCTCCAACTTTGACCGATTTGTGCAGTACAGGCCTAACAAAGGAAGTAAGCTGAGCAGCTATAATGGACAATTTACAATTTTTTTTTTTTTGGTCTTTTGGAGTCTGAATTTTATGGGGATTAGTGGGAAACAGAGGAACATAATGAGTTAATATAGTGAGAAAATAGATGTTTTTCTTTAGAGATTTAGGACTCAAGTGAGTAAAGTTACATTGGAAAAATATCTAAATGAAGTTTGATTTTTATCAAGAAACAAAGTTTGAGCTGGCAACACTTGTGGTTGTGGATTGATTGCATTGAATGTGTGAAGGACCTTTCGTAGGCTTCCTTCTGGTTTTTTAAGTAGTAACTCTTAAGATTAGAGAGTTGATCTTGGAAATGAGCAGTTTAGAGAAATAGGGAAAAGTTGTTCACAAGAGAGTCTAGTGTAAAAAAAAAAAAAAGACGATTCCTCATTCCACTGAGCGAGAATAGTTAAGGGCAGCTACCAATTCTCTATTTTTAACCAAAATGGAAAGTGGTTATTTAGCACATGCCTCCTCTAACTCTGTTAGGCTGATGTTGTGGTTTTGAATTGGAGAGGTTCTTTTGTGAATACCATCTTTTGTCTTTCTTAGCTTTTATAGGGAGTTGTTGCATGCTTTCGAGGAAATGTGGCACAGGTTTGAACTGGTAGTGCTACAAATTATTGTAAATTGTCTTATTGCTATGTGCCACTGGTAACAACAGAATATGAGGTACAATCATGGCTACTTAGTGTGTTGCACATGCCTGCTGTTTGAACGTATCGTTGCATCTGAGTGCAGCAAAAATATGATTGTGTGATGTACAGGAGGAACATTGGTGCTTTCAAGCACAATTACCTCTCAGATTGACACTGTCTTGCACCTGGTTTCTGAACTAATGAAGGACAAATAGAGTTAGCTTAGAGGACATTAATGTATAATCTGGGTTCTTTAGATGAGGCCATGTGTTGAATTAAGTTGGCTTTGACACTTCTTTGTACTTCAAACTAACCTTGCACTAAAGTGATGGAACTATCATGTCCTCAAGTTATTTATTTATGCCACACGTAATGATTTTAAAATATCAAGGCACATGAAGCTGTAGTAACTATTTCATCAATAATGGTTTTATGGCATGGATGGATGGTGATGATTGTTAGGTAACATATTACTGATTCATAATCTGGGAGATTATTAACATTGTGCTATGTCTAGTATTTGACATGAATCATTTTGTTTGTATATTATATGTAGTTGATAGGCAAACAGTATTTGTTGTTTTTTTGCAATTTTTATTTTGTATACTTTTTAAAAATATTGCGGAAGATAAAGAATAGTTACATTTATATGGAAAAATGAAGTGACCTTTGAACATTTTCTTTTTTTTTTGAATTTCTGTAGAATGATTTGGAATATGGAGCAGAGGAATCTCCAATGTCCCCCAGGCTCTCATTTCAGTTCCAGCACCCTCAAACTGCTACACACCTGAACACGTTAAGTGCTCCTTTTTCTTCTACTCCAGTTTCGGCAGCAACAATTGCGCAGGGAGTTCGTTCTGGGGATTACCAGGCAAAGAACTCTGTATTCTCAAATGCACTATCCGGTCCTATTCGTCGGAGCCTTCAGCACTACCATTCAGTTCAGGGTGGTTACCATTCAAACAATATTGTGTCCTCTGCCAACGAACCTCGAAATAATGAGACCAATTACGCTCACCTACAAAATAGCGAAGCCAATTCCCCAAGCGCTAATGATTGCATGGATATGCATGCTGATAGTCCAGGCCATGACTTTCCTCTCTGAATTTCTCTCTGGTCTTTTATTTTTTTTATAGTTTTTTTTCTGGTAAAATTTCTTACAAGGCTAGGAAACTCGAGATTCTGTGCAAATGTATTGAAGTTCAATGTTTATGTATTATTTATTGTATTATTATAAATGTCTAAGGTTTGCCTAGCTGGGGGACATCTAGCAGGAAAAAACCGTTGAAGTTGTCACAATAGCGTGTTAGGTTTACCAAGACTTGCAGTACCTTGTTTGTCCCGGCAACCCCAGTGGCTGATGAACAACGTAAAGTTGTAAGATACAAAGCAAGCACGAATCCTTTATGTTTGCTAACAGGAATATATAACTTCAAAAGCCTGCAAGCAGCTCATCTTCCCTTTATTAGTTCATAAATCATTTCTTTTTATGTTAAGTTTATTTTTATTAGGCCAATCATTGAAATATCCAATTTTCATTACACTTTTATTGAATCAAATTAAGTGAAACAAACACTCAATATTTTTATGCATTTATTATAACAGATGAATCAACTTCTGCGTATTACTATAAATAGTATGTCAACTAATATGAAAAGTTCTCGATTACTATAAATAATATGTTAACTAATCTTAAAGAGTGCTGGCACTTGTTACTAAAAAGATTTTGCTAAATATTGTTTAAATGACTATTACAGTGTTACCTTGTTTTATTTTAGAACTTTCCATATCTATATATTTTTATCCATAAAAAAAAAAAAAAAAAAATTCAGCATAGAAGCTGTGAGTTAAAATTTGTTTGTCTACTAAGACAGAGTAAAATAAAGGTGTTTTTTTTTTTATTATTTAAAAGTTGAAGAATAACTTGAAACAGCGATGAAAGGCGGCCCATGTGACAACTCAAATTAACGTCATGGTTCGTAAAAGTCCCAATCAAACATCCCACATTCTCTCTCCCCACCCTACAATTCTGCTTCTCACTACCCCTATATATATCAACTAACGCATGTAAACCAATTTAATAAACAGCTCCTTTTTATCTATTTATTCTTTTATTTTTTTTCTAATTTATTTTAAATAAAAAGATAAAAATGGCTAAGAAGAGAAAATCCGACGCCACCCGCCTAGACGAGGTTGACCGGAGCATCTGCACGAGTTTTTGCAGCGCCGCAAACTCCCTCTCCCAGCTTTACACGCAGGCCATGAACCACCTACGCCTTTCCTTTCAGGCCAGTGAAGTCACGCGCTGGTCTGCTCCCTAACCCTTTTTTTTGTTTTTTTTTTTTTCTCTATTTATTTATTTAATAAATCAATATATCAACTATATATGTGGCTGAATTCTATATATTTGTTGTTTAATTATCATATATAATAATAATAATAATAATAATAATAATAATTTTGTGTATTGTGTGACAAGCTGCATGATTTTACTTTTACATGCAACAATTTTGTTTTAATTGTTGTTATATCTTAATCATTCGATCATTGGTAATTTTATATGATTTTCTGTTTATTATTTATTTGAATTTTTTTTATAGCAACTTTTGAAGAAACGAAAAGTTTAATACGAAATGTAACCAATTAAAGGGAGCCTAAATATATTTCTATTCTCAATTTTGAATTTTGAAGAAACAAAAAATTAATACCAATTAAAGGGAGCCTAAATATATTTCTATTCTCATCAGCAAATGGCTCAAGGAGTTCGATCTGGTGATAACCTAGTTAAGAACTCTGTTTTGTCAAATGCCCTCTCGAGCCCTGTTTGTCGGAGCCTTCAGCACTACCCCTTGGTGCAGGGTGGTTACAATTCAAACAATGTTGTATCTTCCATAAACGGACAACACAATATCGAAAGCAACTATTCTCACCAACAAAATAGGGATGTCAATTTCCCCAGCTCTAATAACTCCATGGACATGCATGCCGATTGTCCTGGCCATTATTTTCCTTGTTAAACCTTTATGGTCTTTTACTGGATTTTATGTTTGTTTTTCTTCTGGTGAAAGTTTATTGTGTGTTTAGAAATCATGAAATCCTCTTACTTGTAGTGCAAATTCAATTATTAAGTTTTCATAGTTACATAGTGAGATTTTGAGATGTTTCTGAGAGTAGCTGAGACAGCAAGACAACTATCTGCATTTCTTTGGCAACAAGAGGAGTGGAGGTAATTTCCTTGGTCTCCTTTAAAAGAAAAAAGCAGGCAATCCTCTTATTGGCACTCTGGCTATGGAAAGCTATAATTTAAGTTACAATTTGTGATGTTTTCAACTCTGTCGCTCTATTGCCATCTCAAAAACAAAATAAACAATACGAACTAAAACTGTTCTTAACCTTCAGTTCAGGTTTATCATCATTATTGCTTGCTTCCCATTCGCAATGTAGTGTTTCTGAACCTCATGAACAGAGCCAGAACCAAATTTACAATATAGTAGTTTATAAAGCTGACATGTTGAAAGTTTTTATACAATGAATATCGTAGCTTTTCTCTTTTACTTCGAGTTTTACTACGTACATTCATGTCTTCAAGAGGAACCTACTAATTGACAATGCCACTGATGCTCATTTTGTCTCCACTGATAATTTTGCGGGAAGAAGATAAGCCGAGATCAAAGGGCCCCAAAGAGTCTGTCTGCATCCAACATTCCGAAGAAAAGAAAATGTAACGGGCCATGGAAATCAAAGTCATATAAGAAAGAAAGAAACAACTTGGATAATAAATTGAAGTTCCCATTTGATGCCTGAGAGCCCCAGGCTGCTTTCATCATTAAATACTCGCGAGCAAACTAGTAAGTCTGTGTCTGATTGTTGGCAAGCCTGGCCTTGTAATTGAATATTATTGACCTGCGAAGAGGAATTTTTGGAACATATCAAAATCTTGGAATGTCTTATGCATGTAATGACTTAAAATAACACTACTTCGAAGAAAAAACTTTCAAGTATCGGATACGAAAGAGCAGCCTCAACAGATTATCTTAAAGGCGAATTAATGTCATTCATTGGTGTTTTAAGAAATAAAATTACAAATAATGGAAATGACAATCTTTTCCATCAAAACTTACGTTTGAAATCTTAAGAATCCAGCAAACCATCCCGGACCACATCAAAATAACAACTATGTTGAATTGTTCACATGATTGAATACTATTATTCATGGAAATTGTTTTTATAGCTGTCCAGTTATGCCTACCAACGGAGTTAGAAATGTTCAATTACTAGACTTAATAGCTTTTAGCAACAAAATAGGAAAAGCTTGGTGGCTATTCTACAGAAAAAATAAGATATGAGAACCACTTCTGCAATTGTGATAATGGAAGTGACAATTATAATAAAAATTTAGCAAACCTCCATTGGATTGGGATGTTTGAATGACTTAGAACCGGTGTCCTGACTGCCAGCATGAGAATAAGCACTCCCACCAGAAGCTATAGCATCTTTGCCCAAAGAAGAAAACTTTTGAAATGGAAATGCATGGCATGTATCTTCAGCATCCAAAATCGAGGAATGTGAGTCCTGAGGTGGCGGCCTTGGATTTTGAGAGGGATTCATTTGGTAGGCAACGAAAGCATCAAATGAATCAGAGATTAATTGAGATGATTGCAACGCTGCAGTGATCCCATTTGATTTTGGATCACAATTATTGAACCTGCCCTGCAATGATGCTTCTGACAGCAGGCCTCATATGCTAATGTTCGTTACACTATCTGCCCACATTGCCAATGATTGCCTAATGCCACTATCCATCCTCACTTCGTTATCCTAACAGATGAAAAAAAAACACTTTCATAAAGGTAAATTATTTAACATGAAACTTATTTCAACCTAGCACCCTTCTGGGATAAAAAAAGTCTTAGTTTTGTGTCAAGTTCAACATAATCAAATAACTATGATCCAATCCCAAAGCCTTATCTCATGAGCCTGTAAAATTCTAATCATCAGAATAAAAGGGGTAAATATAATAGGCAAAAGTCATATTACCATCTAATATATTGACCCACCCATGTCATTGTTGTAACTTGTAACCCTATTAAATGCTTGATCCAGGTTTACTCGCAATGCACTATTACCAAAAATAACATGGAAGAGTTAAATATAATAGGCAAAATTCATATGACCATCTAATATATTGACGTGCCCATGTCATTGCTGTAACTTGTAACCTATTAAATGCTCGATCCAGGTTTACTCACAATGCCCTATTACCAAAAATAACAAGACATTTCAATCACTAATTCTCTAGGTGAACAAAATTAAGCAAAAATAAGAAGAAAACTGGCCATATTCTCCGTACCATAGAATCAACCGCTCCATTAGATGGCATCTTCTCGGCAGCAACTGCATTTGATTCTCGACTAATAATGATTTGTTTTTCACGCTCTTCATTTGTTACCTCAGTTATTTCACCATTGCCATATGTATTCTGCATGTGAGTATTGCAACCTTTTTGTACATCTTCAAGTTTTGAAGAGGCTTCGAAGGGAGCCAATGCAGGAGGCTGTCTCAGGGTATTTGTTTCAAGACCAGACGTCCATCCATACCTTCAACGTAGAATTCAGTCACTATTTGCAAACAAACTTTGGGAGCCCACAAACTTAAGTTATAAAAGAAGAGTCCAAAAATAAAGAATAAGAAAAGTAACGAGATATTAGACCTTAAGCGAAACACAGCTGGGCTTCCAATTGTTGCATAGACATCCCTGGCACTGATGCAAGTGTCATTTCTCGTCCACCTGTAACTGGCCAGATTTTCAGCTATATTATATGGGGAAAGCATGGGCTCCCCAACAGCAATGCTTGAACTGCCCCACTTGCTATCTAGGTGCTTAAGTACAGAAGATATCTTCTTCCTAACACTTAAAGTTAGTTCCAAGTATGGATGAAATCCATCCTAGAGGAAACAATAGTTAACCCTCAGCCTATGCATCGTTTATAAAGAGTTTTTAAACTGTTTAAAATGTTTTCATTTGTAAAGTTTTACCTTTTCTAACCCTAGACGAGTGTTTTCATTTATTGGAAAAAGCTGCAACTTAATCTTAGCGGAAGGATGGAGTCTTTCTCCTGTATTAAGGTCAAGTCCAGGTAACTTTGTAATTTCTTCCACAAAATTTGTAGTTCCTGTTTCAAACCTCAAAGATAATGCTTCACCCGAGCCAGAAAGTGATGAATGTTCATCTTTTTCAATTTTTCCTAAAATTAGAAGATCAAAAGCTTAAAGTTAAAAGCACAATTCAAGTACACCAAATTACGAAACACAGCAACATTCATTCTTTAAAAGATAAACTTCTAGGTAAAACAAAACAAGTATAAAACATAGATCCTTTTCCCTGCCCGTTGCTTTGTGAAACTCTTGCTGAACACTTTTCTTTCTAGATTTCTCAACTCCATTACAACCCTTGCTCGTATCAATCTCTGAATGTGGTTCCAAGGCCTTCACCCTTCTCTTTCTGTTAGTTCCCATGTCAACAAAGCTTTCCTATTAACCAAACCAATGGTAAATGAGATCAAACTGAAAAGTACTTTAAACCAAAAAATATGCACCAACATTGCAGTTAAAAAATCAACAACAAAAATCAGCACAAACTAATTTCTATGAGGGTTTGCCGCCGGTAGCTTTCAGTTAAAAAAAAGCTCATATCTTTTAACTCTCTAAAAACCAAGATTAAAAAAGGGCACTCTAAATTCCAACTCCAAACAATTATTCACATTTAGCCTTTGGTTTTATTCGAGCATTTAGATTTTAGCAGTTTACAACTAGTAATTGAAGCAAAGAAAAGCCAAAATTTTAGATTAAAAAAAAACCCCTCTACTCGTGAACTTCAACTTAAAGCTATGCCAAAACGGATTCAATTAAATTGCCCGAGAGTCGAATCCTAATTTCATAAATTAGGGTTGCAAGGGAAGAGATTAAGAATAACGAACTCGAGCTATTGACCGCAAATAAATAAGGTCATAATTAAAGAATGAAAATTGAAAGTACAAATCATCAGAAATTTTTGAGTAAAGTTAATGATATGCCAAAATGGATTAAATTCAATTGCCCTAGAGTCGAACCCTAATTTCACAAATTAGGGTTGCAAGGGAAGTGATTAAGCATAACAAACTCGAGCAATTAACTGCAAACAAATAAGGTCCCGCTAAAGAATCAAAATTGAAATTACAAATCATCAGAAAATTTTGAGTAAAGTTAAGGATAGAAATCAAAACGAAAATCATGGGAATTGAAATTGAACCTAAAAATCTTAGTTCTATAAAAAAAGACGGATAGTTTTACCTGAATTGAATCAGAGCAGAGCAGAGACAGAGCAGAAAGAGCGAGAGAGAAATTTGAAAGCGGTGAAAAGTATTGGCGGGAATTTGATGATCACAAGAAAATTATAAGGTCGCGTTTGTTTTGGCAAAAAGTATAAAATAGACAATCAAAATGGAATCCCGCTAAATCATTTTACATGAGAGCCCAGCCGAGCGCCATAATATCAGCTATGGGCACGGAGGCCCATTCAAGTTCACTAGGCTGGCCCCAATAAGTTTTTCCGGATTCTAAATAATTCTTTTATTGAATAAGAAACATATGTACGACAGGATTCGGTTGGTTCAATTTATTCCGTCTGAAAATCAAAAGCTTAAGTTATGGAATTTATTTAAAAATAACCGCACCAATTAAACTAAAATGTAATTTATTTCCGAAGGCAATTGAGATCAATCTGTTTGACTGGTTTGAACCGATCAATTTGAACCGATTGGATTTAATCATTTAAAAAATATATTTATAATGTAAACTATAATGTATAATATACAAAACAAATAATAATATATCATGTTATATATGATTTTAAATTAATTTATATTTATACAAATTTAATATGATCGGTTCAATTGCCAACAGAAAGATTTCTTTAATGTTGAATTAATATATCCAACTGTTTTAAGTTTCCATCAAAGATTTGTCAACATGGTATTAATTTCAAGTCATCATAAAAACCAGCTTGTCCAGAGTTTTTTTGGGCAATTCTTGAAAAGCCAGGTATCATGCATGTTAAGGTGAACTTAAATGAAACTCAAACTGAAGGAACAACAGATTTGAGGGTCACACTTACCCTTCGCTGCCTCATATTCAGTTTATCCTTTATATATATATATATATATATATATATATATATATATATATAAGACCAGAAAGTAATTGTTGAAACCTCATATCGATTACTGAATTAGCTACTAATACACATGAATTAATGCATGTCAGAAACTATGAGCAATGTCACTAATTTGTAACCAGACGCTGCATGATGCCTTCAAGGAGAAACTTCTGAAATTCTTTCTAGGATAAGAGGAGGAATTCGATTCACACCTTGAATTAAACTAAACTTCCCCCTTTTGTTTTACTTTTTCTTCGACGTCTAAGCAAACTAAATCCGATTGAGATTATCATTTAATAGTTGACATGCATCTTTTTTGTGATGTAATTATTTACAATTGAAAGTTTACTTTATCGCTGAAGGTCTTTCTTTTATATCTTACCGGGAGAAGCAGAAACGACATGAAACTTGTAATAGTGGGCAAGCAGCACTTCTTCCGAATGAGCAACACATCTTATAACTGAAAGCATAAGCTCAGTATCTAGAATGAGCTATACTTCACCACGTTATTCGAATTCTATATCACGAGTTTGGCAATACGGGGCGCATATCCAGCACTCTTAATTGTTAAAAGATGAGACAAATTCAACTTTTATTAATTATTAGAGATGAAAGTTGGTTGTTATAACTCTCATCACTGAAAAGAAAATCTCGGTGTACTCAATGCCTTTACCTTTTACCCCTGGCCTTGCTTTATATCATTTGCTGTCATCATGTTCTTCTTTTATCTAATAAACTCATTTATTTTATAATGCTTTCTTTCCTATTGGTAGTTCTTCTAACTGCCATGTTTGGTTTGACATCAATGAATCCATCTCATCTTTCATGACTCTCTTCTACTTGATTGAATCATCAACTTGTATTGTTTATTCATAACATTTTGGTTCACCTTTGTTAGTTAAAAGAATGTAATTCAACAAGGGAGAAAATTTATGTGGCGGCCTAATTGTCTCTGAAGATCTTCTAAGTTCTACTACTATAATGGATTGATTGACATCTAGGACTATATTCTATTGGGTTTCTTAAGCATTATGTTGTAAATCATTAACTGGAAAGCCTTTTAAATGAATTGCCTCGCACTTTTTTATTTTAGAATTTGTAGTTTTTAAAATCTTGCTTAGTTGTCTTTATACATAATTTACTCTTTGAAGATCACATCTATACGTCTAATAATTTTTCAATTTTGATCATCCCAAAAAACGATAATCAAATTCAGTGTCTCCATAACTTATAAAGTAGTATTTTTTAGATTTTAGATCAAGTTACTTTTGGTAGCATCATTAATATGAACATAGGCAAAAAATCCAAACACTTTTAAAGATGAGAGTTGTACCTTTTTGTCACTCTAAACCTATTCTGATACTCTGCAGTCCAAAGGTATTGAAAGACCTCTATTGATAAAAATGGTGTTGACTACATCTGCCTAGAATGCTTTAGATAGCCTCATGTGAATTCTCATACTTCTTGCACCCTCATTTAGTGTTTTGTTAATCTTTTTGGCTACCACATTCTGTTGAGGTCTCCCCAAAATGGTTTTCAATGTCTTGATTTCATTTTTGGCAAAATAACATCTAAAATTATTGTTGAATTGTTCTCCCCTATTGTTGGACTTCAAACATTCTACTTTTAAATTTGTTTCATTCTCAACCTGGCTTTCCACCTTTTAAATGCATCAAACACATTGGATTTATTCTTAAAAAAAAAAAAAAAACTCATACCTTTCTGGTTGAGTCATCAATAAATGTTACATAGTAGTTAGATCCTCAAAGATAAGCAACTTATGAAAGCCCTCATACATCAAAATGGAATAACTCTAATTTTTTCTGTTTCAACTTCCTTCCAACTTTTAAGAAGCTAACTTTTTTTTGTTTCCAAAAACGTAACTTTCATATAGTTGATGTTGAATAGATTTTTGTTTCCAAAATATCAACTTTCATATGCTTAAGCCTACAATGCAACAAGTTGGAGGTTACATCAACAACAATTGTCTTTACTGTATCTTTAGAACTTCTGGTCATGTAGAGAGCCATTGTTTTACTTCCTCAAGTAATAACCATAACGCCTTTTATGACTTTCCATGTACTACAAGTGAATGTTATATTATGCCTTTCATCGTCAAGCTATCTTATTGAGATAAGTTACACATAAGCCTCATTTTTTGAATCTTCCATATAGACCTATTTAGCATTTTTAAACGAATGTCACCCATACCAACAATATCAAAAAAAATTTATAAGCTAGATAAACCTTTCCATAATTTCCAACAACATAATTTTCCATCATGTCGCGGTGAGTAGTGGCATGAAAAGATGCTTTGAGTTTATGACCTAAAAGTCAACTGGACTATCGACAGACAAGAATAGTGCATCATTCATCTCTTTAATGATAGCATTTGCAACATCTTTTTTGTTTTTTTCCTTCCTCTTTTGAGCCTAGCATTGTTTTTCTTCTGTGGCCCGTGTTTTCATAGTTTTAACACTATATTCCATCCAACTTTGAAATTACTTTTTTCATTTCTGGACTTTGATCTTCCTTTGTTTTAGTTAGAATTTCTATTATTTGCTATGCTTTTATTCTCAAGATTTAAGGCAAAACCCAATGTCGTCACTTTACTAAAGTCATTTTCATGAATTTCTTCAGCAAGAATTCGATCTCTAACATCATTGAATTTTAATTTTGTAATACCAATAGAATTACTAACCACTGCCCTCGTAAGCTCCCAGCTACTTGATAGGGATACCAAAAGAATTATGACATGAATCTCATCAACAAAATCAATTTCAATGGAAGTCAATTGATTGACAATTGTGTTGAACTTAGTGAGATTCAATGCCATTGAAGCAATTTTAGCCATTTTCAAATGGAAGGATTTTTTCATGAGAAAAACCTTATTGTTCGTCATATGTTTTTTATACATATTAAAAAGCAAATTCATCAATTGAATTTTAATTTTGTAGTACCAGTAGAATTACTAACCATTACTCTCGTGAGCTCCCAGCTACTTGATAAGGATACCAAAAGAATTCGATCTCTAACATCATTGAATTTTAATTTTGTAGTACCAGTAGAATTACTAACCATTACCCTCGTGAGCTCCCAGCTACTTGATAAGGATACCAAAAGAATTCGATCCTAACATCATTGAATTTTAATTTTGTAGTACCAGTAGAATTACTAACCACTGCCCTCATGAGCTTCCAGCTACTTGATAGGGATACCAAAAGAATTATGACATAAATCTCATCAGCAAAATCAATTTCAATGGAAGTCAATTCATTGACAGTTGTGTTGAACTTAGTGAGATTCAATGCCATTGAAGCACTTTTAACCATTTTCAAATGGAAGGATTTCTTCATGAGAAAAACCTTATTGTTCATTATAGGTTTTTTATACATATTAAAATGCACCTTCATCAAATCCGTAGTCAATGTCTCCTTGGCTACATTGTAAGCTATATTCTTTGACAGTGTTAGATGCATAACTTCTAACACCTATCTGTCAAGAAGCTTCCAATCTGCATCAGACATATTTTTTAATTTCGTACCCAGAAGTGGTAAGTGTAGCTTTCTACTAAACATATAATCTTCCATTTGCATTCTTTAGAAAAAATAGTCTAATCCATCAAATTTGCTGATTTCATGTGTTACATTTTCTTTACTGACCATTGCTTTCAAATCATGAAATTATGAATTGTAAATTATACAAAATATAGTGCCATGTGAAAATACTCACATTAGGTAGGTTTCCAAAAAATATTAAAAGGGTCACAACTGGTCCTACTTAAAACCTAATCTCTTTAGATAGAACTTTTAAAATCGTATTTATCAATACCACTAAATTTTTTTATACATGAACAATACCATATATGTGAATAGTATTATATACTTGAACAATGTCACATATTAGAAAACTTTAACCTTATATAGCTCTTATATCAGTTGTTAGGATTAAGACCCTATCTTATAAACTAAAAGAGATAATATATATGCAAAGAATAAAAATATTGCACAAAACACCAAAGATTTATAGTAATTCACTTTCAATGTGAGAGCTACATTCACTTTTAGAACCGCTGTAGAAATTTTACTATGATAAAGATGATAATTACAAAAGAGAAGAACTATCTCTTACTTTCTATATTTTGCACTAGCTTTCAATTCTCTCTATCTCTTTTTTATCTTTTTTCTCACTTTCTCACTTGACTTGCACACAAAAGCACAAGCCAAAACCCTTTTTATAAATGGAGTTCGAGCCCTCTATTAATTACTATTTCTATCAACCAACCATAACTTAACTCCTACTAACATAATTATTCTTGGGCTAGTGGCAAAAGAAAATTTGCACTACAATAGATGGATGTAAAAATAGTTTTTCTTCATGATGACTTAAAAGAAGAGATCTACATGCAATAGCCACAAGGTTTTAAGGTCCAAAGAGAAGAAAAAATGGTGTGCAAGCTTTTAACGAACCAATATGGTTTGAAATAAGCTCTCCTAGACAATGGTATAAAAAGTTTGATAACTTCATGTGCAATAATGGTTTTTTGAGGTATCATTGTTGTTATATTAAAAAGTTTGATAGCTTTTACATTATACTTTTGTTGAATGTTGATGATATGTGAATTGCTAAAGCAAGCATACAAAAATTTAAAAAGTTGAAAAAGAAACTTTCAAAGGAATTTTTAATGAAAGATTTGGGCATTGCAAAACAAATTCATGGAATGAGTATCACCATAAATAAGGAAGTCTTTAAGCTATCACAAGAAGAATATAGAAAGAATGTGCTCTGCAAATTCAACATGGATGGAGCAAAACTTGTGAGCACTCATTTGGCTAGTCATTTCAAATTGTCCAGAGAGCAATCACCCGTAATGGAATAAGAAAAAGCCTACATGGCTAAAATGCCTTATGCCTTTACTATTGGTAGTCTTATGATGCCACGGTGTGTACTAGACCAAACATAGCACATGTAGTAGAAATTGTGAGTAGATATATGAGCAATTTAGGAAAATAGCATTGGGAGGCAGTTAAGTGGATTCTCATATACCTAAAAGGTACAACAAATCTAACTCTACATTTCAACAAATCAGACTAAAGATTGATGGTGATGTTGATACTGATATGGTTGGCAATATGGACAATAAAAAGAGTATTTCTAGTTATGTTTACACATCGAATGGTAAAATAATTAGTTGGATTTCAAAGTTGCAAAATATAGTTGCATTTTCTACCACTAAGAGAGAATATGTTATAGTGACAGAAGTTAATAAAGAGATGATATGGTTGCAATCTTTCTTGGATGAACTTGGCCACAAGTTTGATAGAAGAATATTGCATTACGATAGTTAAAGTGGCATTCATTTGGCAAAAAATCCTGTCTATCATGCTAAGACAAAGCATATACAAATTTGATATCATTTCATACAATCAACTTTAAAAGATGGTATCTTAGTACTTAGGAAGAGTTAAGGAAATCAGAATCCAGTTGATATGTTAACAAAGACTATAACAATTGAGAAACTAAAGTTGTGTGCAACTTCAATTGGACTTCTTTGTTTAAGAATGAAAAATCGCAACTATTGTAATAAGAGATAGTTGATAATGAATTAGTCTCCAAGTTGAAGATTATTAGAAGATATGGAGACAAATTCAACTTTCATTTATTATTGGAGACGTGGTTGATTGTTGTAACTCTCAACATTAATTGTAGATTGTTAGTAAAAGTTAGGTGATGGTTGGATGATAGAAGTTGTAATTAATAGAGAGCTTAAACTATATCTATAAAAAGGGGTCTTAACTTGTGCTTTTGTGTGCAAGTTAAGTGAGGAAGTGAGAAGTAAAAGAAAAAAAAAATAGAGAGAGTTAGAGAGCCATTGCAAAATATAGAAAGTAAGAGATAGATTTCATTTGTAATTTTCATCTTCATCATAGTAAAATTTTTGCAACGATTCTAAAAATGGACGTAACTCCCATATTGAGGATGAACCACTGTAAATCCTTCGTATTTTGTGCAATAATTTTATTCTTTGCATATATATTATCGCTTTTGGTTTATGTGGCAAACTCTTAATCCCCACATCAATATGTGCCTATATGAACCACTATCCATTGGATCAATTGAAATTACCCTTTCTGCTGCACATTTCCCTACTTCAACATTACCAATAATCCAATATGCACTAAGTAAAGTCCTCCGTAGCATTGTCTCAAAAATTAATGCCTTTGCTTCATATAATTTACCAACATGGCCTAACAAAGATACCACACAAGCATAATGTTCTATCCCAGGTTCAACTCCAAATGTAGGCATTGACTCAAAGTGATGGAGTCCAAGCTCCACAAACCCTACATGCACATCTGCTAAGAGCAGACCAACAAATGTCACATATTGGGTTTCATTCCTTCTTTCAGCATTCTTTCAAATATCTGAAGACCACCTTCAGCTTATCCATGATGAACATACATTGAGATCATGAAATTCCAACTTACGTTGAGGTGACACTTTCACTTGCATGCATGCCCTTGTTATATAAAAGATTGTTATCTTGTAGTCTTAGCCATGAAAGTATGAAAACTTAGACCAACTTTTTGGTACCAATGCCAATCCAACAAGAAATCAACACCTTTTGCTTTACCATGCATTTTATTGTCAAATCTTACCCTTACCTTTGTGCATCATTTACCAATCCATCTTTAGAAACCTTATAAAATTAACCTGAAAGACTAGGTTATTCCAGTCATTCAAGCAAAACCCAAAGAATATTTTCTAGAAATAATAAATATTCTTTGCTCAAAATCTTCATAGTGTTTGATTCCAACTTACCCAATATCAAAGGGGATCCTTTCCCTATGCAAAGCCAACACAAACATTCCCTTTTGCCATGTGTAGAATCAACACAGAATTATTAAAACAAAAAACAAACAGAAATAAAGGGTTAAGTATAAAAAGAAAAGTGGCCAACCAAAAGCAAAACTTGGAATCCCACGAAAACCAACATTCTTTCCAGCTCATTTTGAACCCCAGAACCGCCTGTTTTTTTTTCCCCATTTACAAAAGAAATGGTTGAAACCAAGTTTCAAATATTCTTCTCTTTATCGTCTCAGCTCTCAAGTTGATTACTGTTCAAGTGGAAACATTCTTTCATGGCTAAGCGTCAGTATGAAGTTTGGAAGGGCAACAATGTATGCTTTCTCTGCTTCTTAATGCTTAGTTTTGCATTTGAGTTTGATTTGTCTTTGCTGATTTAATTGATTTTCTCAAAGCATGTTGGTTTCTACTATTTTTTTTCTTGTCAGCTGGGGTGGTTTGTTTTTAAAACACCTATAGATAAGTTGTTCAATCTCCTAAGTCAGCACAAAATATGACAAACTCGTCAGATTCATGCATTCAAGATTAACGCCAATGATGAGTCATGGAAAAGAAATTGTTATTTTTGATATCCAAGAGAAATTGTAAGCGTTTTAAGAAAGTTTACAAAGAGTGAATTTTGAATTTAATTCAATTTTCCTCCTCTTGGGAGTTGGGAAAATAAAAAATCCACAGTAAGTGTCTTTAGTAGAAAGTCTAGCATGTAGACTTGAGTTCTTATATTTTTCTAGTAACATAGTTGGATGGATATTGGTATTTCTATATCTCAAGTATTTCTAGCTCTAAGGATTTTTTGAGAAGTTTTTCCTCTGTTTTGTTTAAATTAGGATATGGCCTGAACATTTCGTTACAAAGGGATAGCATTTCCTTTCAGCTCTTGCAAATTGCATGAATTACTTTCTTCCGTTGGTGGCAATTTCTAACCTTGCTATGGAAAAAAATTTGAGAATCAAGCATTAAAAGTTACTTTTGCAGGTGAAAATATATTTGCACAATCATGAGAGAACGTTCATTTACAGTCGTGTAAATCGATGTATATACTACCATTTTGAATTCATTGGCATTTGAATCTTATGATGAAATGCATCAAGCAACTTCATAAGAGCAATTTGCAATAAGAAACACTCTACAAAAACATACCAAGTCGAATTTTCGGTCCCTTAAATAGTGCAGGCCAGCTTCCCACCTTAGTCTTATTTTTGAGACATGATTTGTGACTGTGCATTAGGGTGATTAATAATTGCCTAGCCCCTTCACTGGCAGCAAAATTTTCCTACTAGACAACTTTTGGTTGAAAATTAGCACTCTTAGAAGGAAGTAAAGGTGATGATACTGACAAAGTCGGAGAAAATCTAATTTCATGATAGCAAATTGTAAATGTTTTTCTTTAGGGCTGGAAACGTATTCATTAATGGTATAGAACTCTGGAGTTCTCAGGTTCAGGACTTTCAGAACTGCTGGCAACTAAGTGCTTCAACGAGGAGAGAAACGGTTGTGTGCAGGCAGTCAGAAGACTCACATTTAGTTTGTATAATATAATCTTCCACAGTGTAGTAATGATATTTAAGTTTCCAAAGAGAGGAGCTATATATGTTAGATTCTACGGGACATCCGGGTGTTGACTTTTGTTTTAAGGGATAATGAGGTAAATTGTAGCCACTTAACTGAGATCATTCCTGGCCATGTCGTCGTAGGTCTACTAGACTAGTACCTAGACTAGTTTTGTACTTGGTTGTGAAGAAAGTAAGAATTGAGATGATGATTAAATTCAACTCTTCCAAAAATTAATAACAAATGAACCAGAGTGATTTAGAAATTGCTGTTCCTAGTATCTACACTTGCTTTTTTATGCATGTCTGATTACCTGGGTTCCACTGCCCGTAACTTACAACTGCTCCACATTGTTTGCTCCCTCCTTCTCTTCCTTCTCCTTCCCTATAATGGAATTCCTTCTCCCTGAAAAGGAAAAAATAGGACCTGCTACTGCTATGTTGATAGACAGCTGAATTTGGAGGAATCTGTTGTTTAGGTGCCTTAAAAAAGAACAAGAAATTTCTGAATCTTCTCTCCCTTTTTTTCTTTCTTTTCAAGTAGATCCAATGTCCTTTTTCCAGTTAAAGGCTTGATTTCTTCAACTTCCCTTTTATGCTCAGTCAATAATTATTTGCCGACTTGGATGCAATAGTTTAAAGGACCATGTAGATGGACCAGAAATGAGATTCTATGGAAGAGTACTTGTTTGATATTTCTATTGTTTTGATTTGGGAAAAGTGTAAGATTGGGTTAAGATCATTCCTAGAATCAATTTTCAGCTATTGAATACAGAAAGAGTGTGAACCTACCGAAAGGAGGAAGAGGGAAAAGGATAGGCGAGAGGGTGAGTGGAGAAGTTACGAAGAACATGAATGATGAAACATGTTTTGCACTGGTGACTTATCATCATTGAAGAATTTTTACAACTTTAAAACGTAATGATATGCTTATTACAAAAATTTTCTCGTTAATCTCTCCCTCTCTCTCTCCCCCACTTTTCCCCCTTGATCTGAATGCATAAGTTATTTACTTGAAAGAATGTCATTCAAGGAAAAATATTATTAATTTACTATCCCTTTAACAAAGTCTAAGAGCCTTCCTAGTGTTGAATATGGTAGTATCAAAACAATATCAAATACCTCATTGTGTCAACATTAATTGAATTAATACCTTTAAAGTTAATTACAAGTCTCTCAAATCTGATGCTGTCATTCTGTGGGGAAAAGTCATTAGGCAGCTGGACCAATTTAAAGTATAGGAGTCGTATTTGCATCAGAACATCTGTAAAATATAAATTCTATCATAGAAAGTTTTAAAAGAATACTTAAATGATTTGATCTTCAAAGGAAATTTTCCCTTTGGAGGGAGGTGAACATGGAAATGCAGCACCTGGCTGTCCAATTCTGGACTAGTAAACTATAAGCTGACATTTGTATTTTCAACTTACAGATTTGATGAATTACATACCAGTACATGTTTGTAAATAATATATAAATGCATTTTTGTCTATGTTGTATATTTATGTGTAAGTACATACATGTTTATGCACAAACGTTTTTATGTTGGTATGTTCTAGTATCTGGATACCTTTCATTATATTTATCAGTATTCTTAGTCTAATTTATAAACTTTTCCTGTACATATTTCTTATGTTGTCTTCATATTTGCAGATATTTCTTTTCGGGGGGAGGTTGATATTCGGTCCGGATGCTAGGTCACTGATAATTACCTTGCTGCTTATCATTGTCCCCGTTATTATCTTTTGTACAAGTGTTGCAAGGAACCTCGTCGATGAAATTTCAGGAAATATTACTGGCTATGCAATTCTAATGGTGACAGTTGTTTTCACAATCTATGTTAGTTCCTTTAACAAAACCCTCTCTGTTCCTTAAACATTGTTAGAACTTTGTTGTAGATTTGTTACCGAAAAACTAAAATTGTCAATTGTTGTGTCAGCCTCTGGTTTTCCAGCAAGTTTATTTTGTGTGCTATGACCTTTTATTCATAGGACCACGTAGGGCCATGTTGTTTTCCCTCTTTTTTTTCTTTTTTTTTTTCTCGTTTTTTCTCCCTTCTTTTTAGCTTGGAAACACAAATTGTCAATTGAAATTACTTGGCTATGGTAGGTATTACTGATGCTTCTTCTTACCTCTGCCCGAGACCCTGGCATTGTTCCTCGCAATTTACATCCACCAGCAGAAGAGATATGTTTTGATTCCCCAGCTTCAATTGATGTTGGGAGACAAACACCAACCCCACGACACCCCCCTCCAAAAGAAGTCCTTGTCAATGGTGTAACTGTAAGGGTGAAGTATTGTAGGACATGCCAGTTGTATCGTCCACCTCGTTGCTCACATTGCTCTGTATGTGATAACTGCGTGGAGCGATTTGACCACCATTGTCCTTGGGTCGGTCAGTGCGTTGGAATGGTATATGAATCAAGCTTTTCTCCTGTTTTTCAAATAATAGACTATATGCTTGCTGAAATCAGTATGGTCTGGCTATTGAGCTAATTTTCCTACAATGGAGTCATTTTAAGTAATTTTAATTTATATGCAGCGCAACTACCGGTCATTCTTTCTGTTCGTTTCTTCTTCAACCATCCTCTGCGTCTTCATCTTTGTAATGTCTGCCTTGAACATAAAATTCCTTATGGATGACTATGGAACAGTCTGGAAGGCAATGAAAGAGTCACCACTTTCGGTGGTACTAATGGTTTATTGCTTCATTTTCCTATGTTTGGTTGGAGGGCTTACCTGCTTCCACTTATATCTTATCGGCACAAACCAGGTTAGTTTCCTTCTATACTTTTTGGTGTTTAGGTAAGTGGTTGCAGTCCGGTAGGCTGAAATGCTGCTTTTAGCTTCCTGTTATTTGTAAATGCTACCAACAGATAAAAGTTCAGACTAAGGTCTTCTTCATTCTTCTCTCTTTCAAAAGTTGAAGTCTGAAAGGCAGGTTGTGAAAAAGAACGTAAGATGGGATATGTGAATAATGGCAGTTTTGATGTATTTGGAGAATGTAGGTTCGGCATGATGCCAAAACACTTTCAACAAGGAGAGTGGAAAAGAAAGGGGGAGGGGGGAGAAATAGGGGGAATGCGAGGTGGGGTTTCAGGAAAGACCTGTTTCATGAAACTTTCAGACTCCTAGGAAGAGTTTGGAATAGGTTCTGTTGGCTACTTACTATTATACGGAAATTTCTTACACTGTATTTATTTCTTTAGACCACATATGAGGCATTTCGGTACCAAGTATTTGAAAGGTCCCGTGTATATGACCGTGGCTGCTTGAGCAACTTTCGACAAGTACTCTGCTCCGGGATAAAGCCTTCAAGAAACAATTTTCGTGCTTATGTACAAGAAAATGAGAGAGGGTCTACTTTGGGCGTAACCTCTGAAACTTATGTAGGTGATTTAGATGCAAACCGACGAGAAAAAGTAGAAGATGACCGAGAAATCGGTGGTGACCTTCACAAGATTTCCCAACGCCGTGAAGCTGACGATGCTTAGAGCAACCTCAACAGGCAGCAGACCTATTCAAAATCTCTTTTAAGGCTAGCTGAGTTCCTTTTGGGGTGAAGTGAAAGTGAAGACGATCGGCCATTACAAAATACAAGTGGGGATATAATGTAGAGTCCAAAAAGATCAACCAAGTTATCTTTGCCTAGAAATCCTGAGGCATGGATAGCTACAGAATTTTGAAAGAAGAAACACCAGTATAACGATTGTTTATCATAGTCCACATTTGTTTTACAGATACAGTGCAAACCCAATTTGGTTTTATAAATATTCCTCATTGAGTTACTCAAATTTCCCTTCCAGATATTGGCATCGCATCATCTCTTTTTGTTTGCATAATTTCCATTATAATTACATGAGATATGAGAATCAGCATGTGTAGTTACTGGAAAGCATGCTTGTTAGGAATAATAGGTTGTGAATTATTTATGAAAGAATGTTAAGTCATATGTTAAAATTTTCATGATTTTTATCCATAGTTAGTTAAGTAGTTGGGAGCTAAGAAGATTATGCAAGACACGAAGTAAATCTATAGTTTAATTTAATTAATTAATATTATTTTTTTTAAGAAATGATATGTGATAAGTTTTAATTTAAATTTTAACGTATGTAACTTTTTTTTTCCAGATTACAACTTGTTTTGTGAAAAAATAATAAGATAATAGCAAATCTAATAAGGCGCAATATCTCATTTTAAAATTTCATAGTAAAAGGTTTTGAAGTTATCTCTTCTTTGTCATTTAATCGTAGATGTATGTTAAATGTTATTGCATTGATAGGTTTTCAAGTAAGGGTCGCTATTTTGATGTGTAACACTCCAAAATCATGTATCTAATTTACGCAAAAGAACCAGTAATTTACAGAAAACCTAACGTGATGAACCCGTATCAATTTTTCCTGCTTGTCTCTTGTGCATCTCCTTGAAATTATGAAAAAATTCATATGCTTCGATTCTAAAATGGGATATCTCTTCTCACTTAAAAATTTATTAAAAAAAAAAGTACACGAAAATGTTAAGCACAAAGACATTTATTTGTCCGGTATTATAAATGGGTAGACATAAACAGAAACTAAATCTAATAAAAATTAATAATAAATTTTTTTTTTTAATTAAAAATATATGTCTTCCAAGAAATATACTTTACTACAAAAAACGTAACCGGCCCAAAGACTGGTTTACTAGCCCAAATCGAAAACGGAGGAGAGTAATCGAGGCATTAGGGTTTAGGGTTTCGTCCGTTTCACGGCCACAGTCTCAGTACTCTGAAATCAAGCTTTTGCTGATTAGCAGAAAAAAAAAAAAATGAGAGGATTGCAGTTACCGCTGAGCCAAACGCAAAGAATAAGACTTCAAAGAGCATTCGAAAAGCTTCAATCTCTCTCTTCTAAGGCCAATTCCGATGCTTCTGTTACCGTCGCCGATACTATTCCTGTCAACTACGAAGACACTTTTCTCAAGTACCCCCTCTCCTATAGTCTACCTTGACGTGTATTTGTATAAATTGATTAAACTCTTTTTTTTTAATATATAGACATTTTTTTAAAATTTATGAAGGGGACATGGAACAATGGACCTCAACGGCGAATTGGTGGCAACTGTATGTGGTGTGGTGGAGCGCGTCAACAAACTGGTCTATGTACGCGCCTTACGCGCTAGGTATTCTCTAAAATTTTACTCTTCAATCCAAATGCTTTTTTTTTCTCTCTTTTTTTGTTTGGAATTTAATTATTTTCAAATTATTAAATCTTTTAGGTACAAGCCAGAGGTTGGGGATATCGTAATCGGACGTGTAGTCGAGGTAATGCCTAAAAATGCAGTGAAAAAAAAGTACTTTCGCCATATTTAAATTGCAGAAAATTTTTTTTTTTTTGGGTGCACACTTTTTGCAATTTTCTTTTGGATTTCAGGTTGCTCAAAAGCGGTGGAGATTGGAAATTAATTTCAGCCAAGACGCGGTTTTAATGCTTTCTTCGATGAACATGCCTGATGGTATTCAGGTAACATGTATATCCCTTGTAGCATTATCCTTAGATAAGAAACCAAGACTGAGATAGATCTCTTATTCTATTCAGCAGAAAGTACCGATAATATATACTGAAATTCGATTGAGGTTGGATGATTAATTGAGATTTAAGTTCTTCTTCTATATCCTTAGACTAGCAAAGCCTTTTTAGTTGAGTTTCCACCATTGGTTTGATGCTTCAGAATATTCATTGAAGTAAAACCTTCTCTTCAGCTTTTCATAGAATTTGATCTGAATAACAGTTATAAGTTCCTTATTCCTTGTTTATTTTCATTCGCTCAAACTACCTCTCTGATTTATAATGAATGTGTTTTAGTGTGGGTTATAGCTGTTTTGTGGTTAACCTCCGAGTTGTCTATCTGTATTTGCTTTTTCTGCTTACAAATTTTCCTACTTTAAATTTCACTCTACTTATTGTTAGAGGCGGCGAACTGCTTTGGATGAACTCAACATGCGTAGTATTTTTGAAGAGAATGATGTTGTTTGTGTAAGTCCAGTGGCACACTTATTTGTTTATTGTTTTATACAGTTCATATATGAACATGCGATATGACAACAGATAAAAGAAAATGATAAACATTTCAGTGTTAGAAATGACATCCTTTTTTCCTCAGGCTGAAGTTCGTAATTTCCAGCATGATGGCAGCTTACAACTCCAAGCAAGAAATCAAAAGTATGGAAAGGTATCTAGTTCGAAAGTTTTTGTTTATTGCTTGCTTCTGCTTTGGCATAGCGAGTTCACATTCTGTGTGTTTATTTCTCACATAAGCAATGTGGGACAGAAGAATGTGAATATGACAATTTTTATGTTCACGGATGATGAAAAAGGAATAATTATGAAACAGAATAAAATTTGAAGTGTTCTGTAGTAAACTTGGGTATCACCCAAAGGAGAAGGGAGAAGGGGTGATCAAGAAGACTCCGAATTAATTAACTCGACAAAGCATGCTGTCAACCAAGAGAGAAGTATTTAGGTTCTTAGGAACTATTTTTTTTTGACATAGATACATAATAAAAGATTGTTTCGATCCTGTGAATCCTTTTGTAAAACATACCCAAACGCTCAAGGTACATTCTTTGCGCTTTTGTAAGCCTTGCCATAAATTTTGTTGCTTTAAATAGAATTTTTTTACAATATTCAGTTTGTCTCTCATGCCCATCATAATAATGCTGTTGCTGATGGAATTGACATGTGCACAGCTTGAGAAGGGCCAGTTGCTCATAATTGATCCTTACCTGGTGAAGAAAAGCAAACAGCATTTCCATCACCTTGAACAGTTTGGAGTTGACTTGATACTTGGACGTAACGGATTCATATGGATTGGTGAACATGTTGAAGCCAGAGATAGTATGGTAGTGGATCAAGCTAATAGTTCTGAACAATCCCCAGTTCTTGAGGAAAGCAACCAAGCTTATACCCCTCTAGAGATGAGGCAGACCATATGCAGAATTGCAAATGCTGTCCGAGTATTGTCTACTTTAGGTTTCAATGTAGATGCAGATTTGATCATGGAGACAGTTGAGTTGAGCACCTCACTGACAATCGATATACATGACATGCTTGGATCAGAGTTCCATGTTCTGGTTGCAGAAATGGAAGCTGAGCGTAGAAGCTTGACGACAAAGAGGAAAAGATGATCTGGCATTCATCCACAAAGCAAGTGAGTTCTCTTTCAAGAAAAGATTACTAATTTATCCCAATGAAAAGGAAAATGCTGTGCCTTATGCAAAATTGGTCCTGTTCCGAAATCATTATTAATTTTAGGAGAATGTTAATGCTTTTCCTGCTTAAATAGATTGCAAAATTATCCTGGAATTGAGAGGTTTATATATGCGAGGAAAGACCCGATTAGGTTTGAAAAGTACAGAGCGGGGACTGTTGAATAAATTGCATCAAGATTGAATGGTCTAGCCGACAAGCAGAGACTCTTCTTGTCTTGGCTGGGAAATAAATAAATATTTAAATATTTGATAGAATTATAATACTAGATATAACATAAGTTTCTCAATATGTTTTATGCTTATCTAAAAGGGTAATATTTTTTGTTATTTCCGCCATATTTATTCTTATTGAATTGCAACTTCTGTTTTTCTTAATAATCTATAAAGTTTACAATTTTTTGTTATTAACTTGTCTATTTGATCAAGTTATATACTTTACTCAATCTAAAAGATTTACTTATATTAGTGTAATTTTTAAATTTTTTTGGATTCTTGAATCAAAATTAAATTTGTAATTCATTTGAATTAAAATAATATTTTTAAATTTAATAATTTTGATTTAAAAGTTCAAAAAATATAAAAATCACACTAATATAAGTAAATTCTTGCTCAATTTAAAAATAGCTTTACTATTTTGTATTACACTAATTTATTATGGAATTATTTGTTTTGTTAATATGGATACTTCACAGTTCACACAAATATTACTATTTTATGTTAACAATTATATGTATTTCTTATATTAAGATAGATAACACAAAATAGTTTAATTACTTATATTATCATTACATATTTTATTATTTAATTACAAATTTCTAATTTATCATAAATACAATAAATTTACCACTTATAGTTATTTGATATTTATTTTTTTATTAAATTATGTAAGAATAAAATATTAAAAAAAAACCTTAGTACACATGTTTTATTTTTAATTTTAAATTTTTTAAAAATATATCTTAAGGAACATGTCACTATTTTAATCGAATTTTAAAAACTCCACTATTAATATTTTTGATAATTTTTTTGTTATAAATGATTATAAACATAGTGAAATATTTAATATAATATTTAAACTTTAAAATTTTTTATTATAATATTTAAATTATGAATTTATTAACTAATGTAAATTCATTTTTAATGTGATTAAATGATGATATATGACAAATAACCAAATACTCCAAATATCTAGATTTATAATTTCAATATCATATTAAAAAATTTAAAATTTTAAAATACAAGTACCATTCATAACTTTTTTTATTACACTTGATAAAGAAAAATAGTTTTGTTAATTTTGTTGCTTTTAAATTTATTTAATATAAAATCACAATCTTTTTGTTACTCTAGTTAACACAAAATACAAAACAGCAATGTAACTAGTTATTACATTGTAATAATTATTGATTACATCTCTTTGTTATTTTATCATTCTAGCTAACATAAAGCAGCGATACAATTATTGTTATAAATTTCTACGCGAACACCAAATTTCTATTTATGGACACGAGAAAATTTTTGACTAAATGTTCAATTTGGAGTAAATGTTTGGATAGTTATTCAATTTAGAATTAAATATTTTATTTTATATAAATAAAATTAGATGTTATCAATTTATAATAATTTAAGACTTTTTTTAAACAAAAAATTCTGAAAAAATTTTGGATGAATTGAATAACTATGCAAACGCTTAATGTCAAATTCATCATTTAGCCAAAAATTTTCTATCTCCACGCATCCAAGTTGAGTTCCAAGCAACACCGAAGTTCAAGCCAGGGAGAGTCCAATGCTCTTTAAAGCTGTACTTTTCTGCTTATTACACAGATTACTAAACAAAGAAAATACAAATCAAATTCTAAAATTCGATCAGCATTGATAAGAGAAGACAGTATAAAATGCTCCTGATCAACAATTAGAAAGAAAAATTACGTTCAAAGTTTCAGACATCCAAGGATTGAAGCAGCACAAGCTCTCAAGCCTGGCGAAGGCGAAAGCTCTTGGGCGGCCACTGCGAATGTTTTGAGAAACAAGCCTTTGGATTTCTCATCATCAACCATCAAAACATCATTCAAATGCATTAACATGAATCAAGCGAACAGAGTGCTATAGTAGCAAGAAAGTGAAAAATAAATAAATAAATAAATAAAGGATTGAATTAATGGAGGAACTGAGAAAACAAAACACGAATCTCAAGCCCCGAAAAGGTGAAACATACATTAGCATTTTTCTATAGAATAAAGACATAATTTTGTAATTATATCAAAATAGTTGTTTCATTCAAATCATTTAATTAATTATAATAATTTTGCCAAAAAAAAAAAAAAAAAAAAACAAGTAGAAAAAAGCAACAAAAACTCAGAGCCTGAAAAGCGTATTGAGAAACATGAAAATTCGGTAGAGTGATCAAGCATAAACTAGATTGGGATAATGCATTATTACTTTGCAAATTAAAATAGATGGAATGAACATGAAAGAAAAATATTTATAGAAATAAAAAAATATATAGGGTGTGAAAGAAGAGTCTCAGACAGCCAAGGAAGGAGTGAAACAGCAGAAACTCTCAAGCCCAGCGAAAGACGAAAGCTCTCAAGCGGCCACTGCGAATGTTTTTGAGAAACAAGCCTTTGGATTTATCATCATCGACACAATCTTTTTTCCAACCATTCTATCAAATTATACCAAATTATTTAGTTAGAAAGAATATCCAACAAACAAAAATGAAAAATACACGGAACCGAGAAACGTAACGTTAACCGGACGGCTGATAGGAGAAGAAAGAGAGAAGGGTTTATAAAGAGAAGTGGGCTTAGGGTTTTTCATTCAGGTTTACTGATATGAACGGCTGAGATTCGTAGGAGGATTGGTGTAAAATTCGGGTCTCCTGTGTTTTTGGGCTTAATTAAATCAAGACATGTTTTTATGGGCTGTATTTGAAAAAAAAAAAAAATTTATGAGGGCCAATTGAGTGACAAATGACACTCACTCAATCAGACCCTCCAAATATAATTTCAATTAAACATAGTAATTTTAAACTCAACAAAAAATTTATATAAAAGAAAATAAAAAATAACATATTTATAATTTTAATAAAAATTATATATGAATTCGATAAAAATAAAAAATATATATTTTATATTTGATATGTCAACATAAATTTAACATATCAATTTTTTATATTTACATGTATTTGACATGATATAAATACGACATAAATATATAAATTATTAAATATAATTTAAATTCAAATCTTGTTAATTTTATAATTTGAATTAAAAGGTTGCTAATTTTATTTATAGTTAGATACATATAGCAATGAATTTTCAAGTCCTAAGGAATTCTTTTACATTGTTGGGAGGATCAGTTGCTATGGAAGTATGAAAGGATTAAAATTAATTAATCACCAATTGCAGGTAAAGGTACGTCTCTTTGGTTCATTTTGTTGTTCTCCATATCCTTATTTTGTATATAAAGTGATGGCAATCTCAAAATATAGATAAAATAAAATATTAAATATATATAAGAATGAGTACCAAAGTAAAATAATAAAATAGAGTGAATAAAAAAAAACAAAAATCTATGAATAAAAAGTAAATAAATAAAAAATAAAAATAAAAATCCCTAAAACAAAACTAAAAAATTAAAAAGTAAAAAAAATAAAACATATACATACAGAGTCGGGCTTTCAACAGGTTTCCACTCAAGTTGAAAACAGGTTAGTCGCGGATTTGATTTACGTAAAACGGCGTCATTTAAGTGTTCCTCAAATTATCAAAATTGTGTTTTTATCTTGACTATTAATTATTAAAATTATGTTTTTAAGGGTATTCATTCAATCGATTAATTTTAAATTAAATTATTAAAAATTAAATTATTTTATTTTTTAATCAAATAAAATATATTAATTTTAAAAATTAATCGACTAAAATATATAAATTTAATTTGATTAATTAAATAATAAATATATTTAAATTATTAAAATTTCATATTTGAAATAAATTAACTAAAATCAGCCAACAAGATATTCAAAAATCAAATTATTAAGTTTAAAACTCTAATAACTTTTAAAATAAAATAATTTATTTCATATATTTAAATTTTATTATATTTTAATTAAAATTTGAATTAATTTGATTAATTAGATTCCATTTGATAATCAAATCAAATCAATCACAAATCGAAATTTTTTTTAAAATTATTTTTAATAATTAATGAAAATACTAAATTAAACTTAACTAATCAAAAATTAAAATTATCCTAAAATCACTTTTAATAATCGGTCAAAATTAATTTGTACATCTGAATTATTAACCGATTTAAATCGGTTCAAGTTAAAATCATATTTTGAAAATCCCTAGAAACTAGTCTCTGTTTTCCCTTTCTAACAGAAATCATGAAGACAGCAAGACCTCAACAATCTCAGATGCCGGTCAGCGCCGCCGCCTACATTGTTGTTTGTCACCGCCACTCCCTAGAGCCTATTCTTCCAATATCCAGAGCACAAAAAACTATGAAATCTCTAAAAATCCTTCAAAGTGAAAGACAAAATATTTTGCTGTCAATTTTATCTTTGTTGAAAAATTTCCTCGCCGATTGTGTTTATTGTGTATGATTTTTGAGGCTCTTGATCTATTAATTGTTTTGTATTCTATGTGATTATGGATTTGCTCTGATTTATAGGGGATCAATTCCAATCCAAAAAGGATTCTGTTTTAAAAAAAATTAATTCAAGAAATTTGGTTGATATTTGAGAGTTTGTGTCATTGGAATTTTATTTAAAGGATTTCCAAAAGGTATTTCAACTCGATCCGCCTTCAGCTTTCTTCCCTTTTTTCTTTTTAGTGTTTTTTTGCAATTCTTTTTTTTTCTTTTTTTTTGGAATTTTTATGATTTTCTGAAAGCATGTAGCAGAAAATAAAAAATAACAAAAATAAAAAGATTAAAAAAAATTAAACAACCATGGATCCTAAATTTATTAGGATCAAAGCTAATTTGAAATAAAATTTCACCGAACACTTGAATTTGGATTACAATATTTAATAAAAAAATTAGGCTTCGTATCCGAGAATCACATTTTAAATTCGGTTTAATAATATTTGACCATTAACTCAAGTAACGAAAAAGGTCAATTCGAATTATTTAATATGTAATGTGTTAATTACAAATTAAACTAAGGTATCTACATAGTATTAACCGTTTTTTGAATTATTATTTGATTTTTTTAATTAATAAGATCCAAGCCTTTAATCGATTTTTTTCAATATTTTAATTTTCTGATTTTTATTATTTTATATTTTTTTTAAATTCCATTAAATAAATATTTAAAATAAAATAAAATAAATAAAAAGTATAAAAATAAATAATGAAAATGAAATTAATAAAAATCAATTTGCGTGAGACTGAATTTCAAGATCAAATAAAAAGTTAGAGAAATCCAATTAACAATTTTGATATTGAAAAGCAAATTATTAGAGTGAAAGTAAATATCGCGACCAGATAACAATTTCAAAATTGAAATCAAATCTAAAGATATAATTGGTCATTCAAAGGTCTAAAAACAAATATAGTGGTTCCAAATTTGACTTAATTAATATAAAAAAACCAACTCATCTTGAATTAAGTCCTAAAAGAAATTGTTTTAAACTTTTCGTTAAATTTTAGTATTATTATCATTTTAATATTAACAATTTTTTAATTATTGAAAATAATAAATAATTTTTAACAATTATTTTTGTTGCGTTTAAAATATTTAATTATGCAAAAATTTTAAAAAATTTTACAAATATAAAAGATTTTGCAACGACATTTTTTTTAATTGAAACAAAATGATAGGGATTTTGTAACAGCAATTTTTAACGTTTTGTAAAATATTAAGAAAATTTTTAATTTGGTACAATTAAGAAAAGTTGTTGCCAATTTCTTAATACTTTGAAACGATTCCTTTTGTCATTATAAATATTATATAGATATCGTAATTATTTTTTTTATTGTTGTGAAAAATAATAAAAAATTAACTAGATAATAATAATAATAATAATAATAATTATAAATTATAAATATAATAAAATTCTATAACGTTTTATTTTAACATTATCAATTTTATACAAATTTGTAATAACAAAATTATTGTTATCTAAAACATAAAAAAATAAAAAATAAAAGAAGTAATGATTATAAAAAATTATTACAAATATAATAATATTTTGTAATAATATTTTCAGTCGGTGGTTCATTTTAGTAGTGATTCTTAATTTTTATGTCGCAGGTTAATCAAGTAAAATTTTGATTTTACGAGCAAGGAATTCATTAGTTACCATGCCGACGTACTCTGGTGTGCTGTGTACTTTTTTTTTGGATAGGGATTGCCTTTTTTAAGTTCTCACTTTGATCGAGGAAAAGCTACTTATAACTGAAAATAATTTAAATGATAAGAGAAAAAATTGAATTTAATTATACTTGTAGATCATTCGTGATTTTAACATTATATATATATATATAAAGGTAGGGTTGTTTATACGGTTAATTTGATTAATTTAAAATTAAATTAATTATTTTTATATTATTTTATTTTAATTAATTAAATCAAATTTTTTAATTTTAAAAATTAACTGATCGAAATTAATTTGATCAATTCAATTAATTTTTTTAATTAATCAACTAATAAAATATATTAAATTAAATTATATTTTAAATTTTAAATTTTTTATATTTAAAATAAATTAAATAAAATCATATAACAAAAAATTTCAATTACCAAAATATTAAATTAAAATTTTTAATAACTTGAAATGAAATATACAATTTTATATATTTTTAATTATATATATATTATTATATTTTAATTAAAATTACAATTTATTTGGTTTTTGAATCGAATTAATCAAAAATCAAAATTTTTTTAAAATTATTTTTGATAATAAATCAAAATTAATTAAATAATTAACCGATTAACTAAATTAAATGTATTTGATTGATTAATTTAATTAAAATCAAATTTTGAACACTCTTATATAAAAAAAATGTATCTAGATATAATATTAGGGTATCCATGATTATCTTAAAAGATTAAAAAATAAATTTTTTTTCTTTGAATAGCTCAAAAGTTTTTTTAACATTATTTCTACCAGTAAAATTAATAAATTCATCTATAATTATATATATTATAATAAATATTTTTAAAAAATTTTAAATTCGTAATTGCATATATATATATATATATATATATAATATGCCTCATTTCCATGACCATCTAGCATTTATCATTGCTTCAAACCTACCGAACAGGAAGACATAGCGACGAGATTCGTGTTTCAAAAGCAATGGGGGGACTAGATTCCATTTGGCTTCACGGTTACTTTGTTTGCAAAGTTGAAAAGAAACCAATTAAATAGAGCTATAGTCATACTCATTAATATAACCCATTGATAGTTACACGCAAATTTATGCTTTGGTTGATAGATTTTTCTTTTTTAAAGATTTTCAAAATAAAGCCAAGGAAATGAAAAATAATGCGGCGCATGCATTTTCGATGGAATTCACTTCTACGAGTGACAATGATGCTGTTTCTTTTAGTAAATGGGTTGGATCTTATGGCACTCATAAAATGATACATGATACACGGCAAGTTATAGTTTCAAGCAACGCTAAATAATTTTTTATTAAGTCTTGAAATGTTATTTGTGAATAAGTGCATGATTAATTGCATGAAATTATTGATTCAAAGATATAAAATTTATTATTTTTTAGGTGAAATTCATAAAGTTTTTTATTAGAAGTAATTAAATAAAATTTAAAATTTAAAATCAAAATCGATAAATTAAAATTTTTCTTTACATAAATTAAGTATGCAAAATTTAATTAATTTTATATATATTTTTAGATAAATATTTTTAATAAAAATATTAATAAAAATTTTACTATTGAATAAATATTGATTAAATTTGAATTATAAATAATATTTTTAATAATTTTTTTACATATTATTTATTTTTATATTAAATTTTATCTATTAGTTTAGACTTTTTTATTAAATTTTTTTATTAAAAAAATTCACAAATTTCATTCCAAGAATTTCATATAAATTTTGTTCATGTTTAATAACCGCAGGATAAGCCTAGAATACGATGGAGCTCTATATAAGATTCAGTATTTTTTTTTTCAATTAAATAACGAAGACTTGAATCTAATTTTTTAAAAATATAACACAAAATATGATTCTTAGTTAAATTTACATGAAATAATATTATTGATATATACCATATTATATATTATATTGGGGCCAAGATAAATAAAGGAATGGAGTATATAACTAATAAGCATTTATCAAAAAAAAAAAAAAAAAAGAAGGGTGGGAGTGGAAAAGGAAGCTGAAAGCAGACAGTTTGAGATAAGCGTGGATCGTGGAAGATGAGTTTTAAGATTGAGATTACTTTGAATCCTGGAAACACAAAAGCCTGAAGTAACACTGTCCTTTCTTTTTATCTTACACAGGAAAACTTCTTTGCTGAGACGTAAGGAATAACATTCCTTCTGCTTTTTTAACATTTTTCAGTTCATTTAACACTCTTTTAAGATTCTTTCCTACCTACAATTTATCTGCCTGTCTCTTTCAATTTCATTAAAAACTGCGAAAACCAAAGAGTAGTCCCTCCCTCAACATATACAATCCTTTATCAACTTAATTTCTTTAATTAATAATATGTCAACTACAATACAATATTCTGATTTTGCTTTTCATATTATCGTTTTCTCATCATTTTTTTTTTTTTTGGGGTTACATCTCCTATTATCGTGTTTAGATTAAGTTTAATTAAAATAATTCTTTTTAATTAGCTTTTCTTATTTGTAGAATTCATGATTAGATGAATTGCGCAAAATTTTAAATTCTAAATTTAATTTAATTATTTTATGTAATAATTTTTAAAAAATAATATTTATCAAATTTAAAATTTAAAATTCAATATTTATAATCTATTATTTTATTTTTATTTTGTGACTTCTTTTTTATTAAAAAAAATCGTAAGTGCTCAGATTATCATATATAAAATGGGTTTGTATCCCAAAAATATTCATACATTCAATATTAACACGTACAAACAAAATTACGATAATTTGAACTCAAGATGATTTGCTATTGAGGTTGAATACGCATTAATCGTTAAATCATATTTCGTGAGTAAATACAAATAATCCATATAACAATTCTGTAAGAAGTTGTTTTTGACTTCTCTTCTGGACACTATACACTAGAATCTAGACTATATGTTAGATAGTTCTAACGCTATCTACTGTTCCATTAGACGCAAGTGAACCTTCCGATAGAAAAAGAAGTTTGAACGAGAGTCTAAACTTCTGGATCTTATTTTTATCAGGTTCAAGAGGTTGATTGTAGTTTATGTAAATTTTCATCAAAATATTATGCCAATACTATATGTAAATTTTAACTATGATTGTAGTTTATGCATATATAAATATATATATATATAACTTAACTTTATCAAAAGAAAGAAAAAACCACTAATTCCTAAAATAATTAGTACAAAATGGAATCCCTGAAAAAGTATACTACTAAAACCAATAACCACAATCGTTTTAACAAGTTGGCATACAATTAATGACCAAAAGCCAAAAATCACTAGTAAATTAAAGAAAGACACTATCCAGAGGTTGATGTATAATGACTAGAATCTGACCAAGCATGCACCGAAAAATCTTCAACACCACCACCTTGACTGCTAGCCAAGTTGACGTGATGACCCGAAGCTTGAATCGGGAAAATAAGAGGATTTGAAGTTGTTGGTAAAGAAGAAGATGAGGAAGAAGACAAGGAAGAAGATTGTGCATGAGAACCTGCTAGTTGGTCGAATGGATTCATGGATTGCTGCTGCTGTTGCCTTGGAAAATCACTGCTGGAACCCCAATAAAACTGAGAATAGTCAAGATATCCCCCGGATACATGATGGTTTTGGACCAAGTGATGAGATTGAGATTGAACGATTGGCTCAGTAGATGTTGGAATGGACAAAAGGGTGTTGGTAGAAACAGAAATGGGCAAGTGGGTTGTTGTTGGATTGGAGGGAGGTGATCTAAGTTTGACGTTTTCAGGGAAGTTGAGCTTGGCTTTGTTGCCTCTGAAGCGAAGGGCTGCTTCATCGTAGGCTCTTGCTGCAGCCTCAGCTGTGTCGAATGTGCCTAACCAAACTCTAGCAGCTTTGAAGGGGTCTCTTATTTCTGCTGCCCACTTGCCCCATGGCCTCTGTCTCACTCCCCTGTATCTCCTCCTTGGCTCTTGTCTGAAGTTCTCATTGCTCCTGTATTCGTACGTCGGAACCAATTGTGCAGGGGTGTTTGCCTCTTCCACTGCATTTAGATAGTAGAAATATTGTAACAAAATGGATTTATATTCTAGCTATGTATTCAACTTTTTTATACCAAAAAAATTGCAGGGGAAGTAAGAACAATAATGCTATCAAGAGAGGAACGTTAAGGAGAATTCTCTAAAAAGTTTTTGATATAAACAAAATGAGGTCTTGAACAAAAGAGAACAAGAGGGTGTGTAGAGTTTAAGAACAACGACATTAAAATGAAAAAATGATTCAAGCAAAAGAAAAAAAAAAATTTTCTGTCATTTATGGGAGAAACAACATTTAAAAAAAAAAAAAAAAAAAAGATATATGATATGCTTTGTAATTGATGTCGTTTATTATTATCCAGCAACATAAGAGTTAAAAGAAAAACAAAAAGAAGAAAAATATATGAGTTTATATTTAATATATTAACTATGTATAAATTTTATATATTGTTAATAAATTATATAATACAATTTCATTAATAACATTTTTTTTGTATATTTAATTTAAGGGTTTGTAAAAATTTATTTTTTTCTCATTAATAAGATCGTATTAAGTAATTCGCACAATATATAAATAAAATCTATGCACGAAAGTAATATATCAATGTAAACTTAAAATATATAGATTTCTCTAACTAGAAACAGGGCTTAGCTTTATTGAAAAATATACTATAAATAGAACGGATATCGTTGAGGTTATAATAATAGTGTATGTGGAAGTCTATAAATGACTTGCCAAGTATAATATGTAGTACTATTTAAAAAAAGTACTTTGTCTGAGTGGAAAAGAAATTAAATTAAATTTAAAAAAAGTAATAGTAGTATTAATTTTCTACTAAGTTGCTAACCTCGTACACCAGCAGAAGATGAGCCTCCTCTTTCATGTGGTAAGTTACCAAACTGTGTACAAAGTTTAGTAACAGCGCCACCTTCCTCTTCTTCCCTTCCTCTCTTTTGCCCACCAAATCCCCATGAAGAAGTAATATTGTTATCAGCAATACTACTTGAACCAAAACCATCCAAGTTTTCATTATTTCCTGGCAGCTCCTGATGATCAGGCACATCGCCAGCTACGACATGAGTCAAAGCTGAAACCATAGCTGACATCTCCCTTTCCCTACTAACCTCAGACAGCATCCACGACCCTTCTCTCTTCATTATAGGCTGATGCATCAACAACCATTGATTATCTTGGTCGAACAAACCTCCCCTGCTATTCTCAACTACTCTCTCTTTCTTGCTCGCCACCTTTTTAATTATCTCACACGTGAAAAAATAGAATTGTTATCTAAAACTAATTACGAACAAAAATCTTTTACGGTACTAACCAAGTTTATTTCCTTTTATAGTTCAGCACAAAAAACATCGGCAATAAGGAAAAGTTTATCGGACACTCCGCCGCCTTAAGAGAGTCGGTTTAATTGAAAGCGGCTATCTTTAAAAATTGATTCGAGGCTGTGGATATATCTAGAAAGAAAATATCGATTTTTGTTTGTTTGCAAATTAAAAAAGAAAACAAAAAAGAAAATGAAATCCATAGAGTGAAGAGTGCAAAAGTCAAAATGATTTTTACCTTCTAGTGTGAACGGGCTCGGAAACCGTCTGCGACGGTTTGCGCGTAGGGGTTTTTTTTATTTTAAATTTAATTAATTTATTACTCCAGCCGACATGGGATGAAAGCTAATAAAGCCCATTGGGCCAGATTGATTTCTAATCGCATAATTTATTTTTTATTAGTGTGACTAAACTTGATTAGCTGAAAATGATTTTGAAAATTATTTGGTGTAAATTTCTTGTCTACTACTGTTATATATATATATATATATATCCTTAGTTTGTATTTTATTTTATTTTTTGGATTGTTGGGTGTTTAAAATTTCTTAAACTACATTGTAAAAAGAAGCATTATCCATTTCTAATAAAAGTTTAAATGTCCAATTGTACAAATAACCCACTTACACAGGAAAATCTGCATGTCAAAACGACCGGCTGCATTTGAAAGTGCGACGAGAGGAGTCTGCATTTCATGACTGGATTCTATCACATTCCAAAATGGAACCATAATTAAAGGACAAGATCCATTAACTTTTTTCTATTTGTTTTTAATTTTTTGAAGTGAAAATTAAAAAAAAAATGGTGTAAAATGCATTTTAAAATTTTAGATTTACAATTAAATGTAGTAAAATTCCATCAAATTACTATTTAATATATTTTCATATTTTATAACAGTTAAAGGATATGTAACTAATTAATATTATTCATAAAAAAATTACAAATTACTTGAGTTGAGGAAAAAATATAAAAATATCTTAATCCCAACGAGAAACAAACTTAGGTAGGTGTATAATTTTGAGCTTTTAATTTCAATGGAAGACATGCCCTAATGATCTAGCACTGCATTGAACATTTTTCATCACAAAATTCTTCATTTTATAAAGTATTAATATATATTTCATAAATTACCTTGCAATTTGATCTTTTTCGTTTAATTTTTTTATACGTGAGTAATTTTATTTATTTGAAATATTAAAATATTATTACATCGAAATTATATTAGTAAATATGTAAAATACAAAGAATCATATATTAAAAATAATTTCGTTTAAACTGCAAAAAATGCAAACATTATTATTTATACAGTTCGTGGTTACATAAATCAATGAGGTATGTTAGTATGACAAACTCTTTAATATAAAAAGAAAAAAACCTCACCCCTTCAGTTCCAGTAAACTCAGCGTGCAAAATTTCTAATTTTTTAAATTATTGATAAAATCAAAATTTTATATTAAAATGATAGGCAACATAAGAAAGGAGTCCAAAAATTTTCACTAATACTTTCTTTAATTAAAAAGAGTCAACAATTGATGGCGTGTCATTTTTTTATTGGAAAAATGATTGGTGGTGTTCCTTAACTCAACAACGGTTTGTCAAAGGTTGACACCCAAGTGAAAGCAAGTTATTTATAGACGCATTTACTACAGGAATAGCTTAGGTGGATCCACCTCACCAATTTGTCTGAGCAGCCAAGTGGAGACCACACCGTCTTTTTTATGTTTGCACGTTAGGAAAGCACTTAAATGAACTTTTTTTAAGAAAAAATTTGTTAAATTTTTTTATTAAAAAATTAAATATAAATTACAATTGATTGATTAAAAATTTTTACTAAGGGCATAAATTTTAAAATTTTTTTATTTTTTAGATAAATTTTTATTGTTAAATAAATATTAATTAAATTTTAATTATAAATAATATTTTTTATATATTATTAATTTTTAATTAAATATTAAAATTTTTATTATCATTTAAAAAAATTTCATAAATATCATCTAAGTTTTTTTCTTACCTACAGAGGACCGGGATATACACTAGGTTGTTAACATCAATTGCTTCATATTTAGGCTTCTTTATTTTTATGTTTTAAAGACTTTACACGTGTGTAATTAAGCTCTCTCCCTTCACATGCCTAGTCGACAACATGTATAATGTCTGATAAAATTAAAAGTCTACGGTTCCAAAGTTTGTTTAAAAGGTTCTTCAACTCTGTGTCATAGCCTCTGTTATCTCAATCATCTTCAATTCTTTTTCTACAAAAACTCTTTAAATAAATTTTTTGCTGTTATTTTATTTTTGCACTGTTCTCCGTGAAGTGTTCTCTAGAGCTGTTTTTAATGATTTAAGGTTGTTTTTTCTTTAGCCATCCAATGTCTAAACTGTGACTTTGATTTGCCTCATGATTGATTTTCTTGGACAGCCAAATTCGTTGGCAAATTATTTGATTATCCAATCGTATCCAACTAAACAAGCAAATATTGCAGAAATCTTTTGCAATTAAAATATGTGAAATTAAAATAGGAGAAACCCTAAACATCATGGCAATAATTTGATTTTTCCAATCGACAGAGGCAAAAACGAAAAGACTTTTCTGTCATTCAAATCACAGTTAATGATGGATCAACTAAAAAACGATGCTGTTTTTGTTTGAATCCGTTCCATCTTCAAAGCCTTCCATCATCGAATTTCGTCAACCCCCTATTGATCTGCGCTTTACCGTCACTACCCGCACCCAACCCAAATCCAGGTTGGGTTTCTCAAATTTTCAATTTCAACTTTCGTTTTGGGGGTTAATTCAACTGATTGCAATACTTTGGTCTCATGTTTTTGCAGCCAAAAGGTTGAAGGGGAAGCCAGGGATTGCATTGCGGCAAGAAACCTTCAAAACGCTGACTGAGAACTTAAGAAGGGACTGCCTTAATGAACATTTTCTTGAGTTAGGAAACGCACTTGGTACGTTTTGAACTTTCTTTGAAACATTCAGTTTTACAATATCGCAATAATTTCTCTTTTGGGTACTAAATTAAGAAAGTTGAAATCAGTTTATATGTCTAAAATGCTTTGGTTTATAGAGTTTTAGTCGAAGATATGGTTTCTATTTGCATATGTCTAAATTAGTACACATGAAATTTGATTAAAAGAGTGCTGTTTCAACTGCAAAAGATTATTACCAAGATGTTTAGGTTTCTTTTGTTTTAATTTCACATGTTTTAATTGTAAAAGATTCTAGCAACATCTATTTTTTTAACTAGTATAAGTATAGATATCTAATTTTGTTTAAAATCGATTTGAGTTTGTTCGATTCAAACATTTCAATTTGGGCTAGTTAAAACGTTTTAATTGGATTGAGTCTTCTTGGACTTATTTTGGATTAATTGTTGTTGGGATCATCCTACATGGCTAAAGTCTAATTTAGTTCAATTTACCAACAAGTAGTTGGTTCAATCGATTAAGGTCGTTCTTTTCGACGAAAAAATCTTAGGTTCGAGTCTTGCCGGTAGTCATTTATTGAGATTATCTAGAATGCATGACTTACAGTCACCTATCTTAGGCTATCAGGTACGACACATTTTACTTTGATTTGGGGGATTGAGCAGCCTATCTACCTTATGATTTTCTAAACCAAAAAATAAAAAAAATTAATTCAATTTTGAGTCAAAATTTAGTCAATTGGGTTTGAAGGTCGATAAAAGTTCAAATCAATTTTGGGGCCAAATTAAGTTTTAAAACCTAATTTCTTTTTTATTTTTATATTTTAGAATTAATTAAATTAATTAAAATAACAACAAAGAACAATAAACATGAAAGGGATAGCTAACAAGTCGTTACTAGCAAATAACTACACAGAACACTATCTACTATCATAACAGGCTAAATTTTCAGTTTGATGTAGCAATTTTGTTGTTGCAATTCTATTGAAAATTGAATTTTTGTGTCTTATTATACAAATTCACTAATATACATACACAAGGGCAATAAGATAGAAATGGGGGAGGATTAAAAAAAATTCATATAGTGGGGAAGAGAACACACACAGAAAAGGAAAGTAAAAAAATTTTTTCCAAGTCCAACATCGTTTCCCCTTTTTTATGCCCTCTAATCAACCCCTACACAAACCAAACTTGAGACCTACCATCACTTTTACATCCTAACTCCTACAGCTTCCATCGTCATCACCTAATCACCATTTGTAACCTCACATCAAAACAGCCTTTCAAAATCTACCCAAAAAAAATTCTCCAACTTCAAATAGCCACGTCGTACAAACCACTCAAAAATCAACCACAAAAAAGGCATGAAAAAAGATCATCCCTTCTATCAAGCAATCAAAAAAAGTCCTAAAACCCCTCAGCCTTATCTAGCCTCAACCTCAAAACAATTTTCTACCACCAATGTCTCACCTTCAACAAAAAAAAAAAATCGCTTTAAACTAAAACTCATCCTATAGCCAAAAACTCATTCAAACCCATGAACAACCTCCTAATTCATTCCGCCAAAGTCACCCAAACTAAAAAACAAAAATTATGTCATCTCTCTTTCCAAAATAAAATAAAAAATAAAAAAATTTCACAATCTTATCTAACAAAAAAACCCGATCAACCTAAAAAAAAAACCATAAAAAAAAATAAGGGAGTTTTCGATCCCAACAAGAAGATTTGATGAAGAAAAAAATAAAAAAAAAAAAAAAAGAAAAGGCAATGGCGTGAACATCGTTGGTAATGGTTAATAGTGGCAAAAGGCTTTTGGAAACTCAAAATTGTGAAAATGGGGGTGGAAGTTAGAAAAAGACCATAACGAAATATATAGTTGATCAAAGTAACAGTGGAAGAGTTTTTAAGGTGTAAATTAGTAGGCTTTGTTTTTAGATCTAGCAAAATCCAAAAACTTTTTGGGAAATTTGATTAGATTTGAGAAAGAAAAGAAAAAGAGGAAGCTCTAGTGAAAACTTGAAAAAAAATAAAAACAAGCCAAAAGTGGACGACGACGAGGTATGGTGGTGGTCGGTTAGGATTTGGGCTTAAGTTTGGTGGTCAGCAGCTTAGTGTTTTTAGGGTAAAAGAGTTTTTTTTTTTTTAAAGAACAGAAGGTAGAATGAATAAAAAAAAAACTTTGGATTTTATAGGTTAAAGAAAAAAAAAGAATGTGAATCAAGTCGACTCGAAC